GGCGGGTGCCCGGCCCGGCCGCCCCCGCCACGGAGGGGAGCGTTGAGGCGCCGACGGCGGTGGAAGCAGGGCACCGTCACGGTGAACAGCAGCGCGGGGGGAAAGGGGGCGCTTGGTGGAGCTGCGTGCGTTTTACCGCGTTCCCTCCGTCACGCAGGGAGGAATTGCATCACAGGAGCTCGGGACAAAACAGGCCCGAAAGTTAATTGTGAGGGCGCTTTGCCCTGTAAGGACGGTGGGGCCAGTAGCTGTTGAGCGCTGCTGTCTCTCAAACCCCATTAAGCAGTACATTTACAGGAAATCATTAAATGAATGATTAATCCGGATCACTTACTGCCTGGAGACAGAAATTTGTACTTCATGACTAAGCTGTCTGGCATCGGAGCACCACAATTACTAGGAAATAAGACCATTGCTACTACCCCAGTAAAACTTCACTACAGAGTTGTCCTTAACTAGTGCCGGTACTTCCATCCCTAACTACAACCAGCAATTACACCATTTAAGACACGTACGTAATGTTGTCGCACATTGTTACCGAGCTTAGGAAACAGAGTGCTAGCGCTGAGCTGCACGACAAGGTCGTATGGATCATTTAAAAAAAAAAAAAAACAAACAACTTTTTTCTCCTTTAGGAAAACTGTAATTTTCCATCTTGTGCATCAATGAGTGATGACTCCATTCCAGTATTTCTTTTCTTTATGCTGTTGCCAAAAGAGAATAGGGGAAAGCTGCAGCCCCGTTTAGCCAGGAAGGTTTTGCTACTCAAAGCAATATAGTGACAGAGATACAGTTACACCGTCGAGTCCCTGTCTGGAAATCCTTATTCCATTAGAATAAAGTTCCAGCCAGAGATTTACTTCTTGAAGAGGCTGCGAATGCAGCTCAGTCCCTTACTGAGAAGGGTGCCTTTAGCAGTTAGCTTGTATCCTGCACAGAGACGCACTCGAGACCACTCCTCTGCATTCCAGACTCCCCGATGGCTTCACATCCTACCTCCTCTCCCCTCCCTCCTTCCATTATCCGATGTATTGCTGTTGTCTCTCTCTGCTGACAGGTCTGGATGGACCCAGATGATGTCAGTTGTGGAAATACAACGTAAGCGCTCCTGAGCTGTCTCCGGCTCAGAAGAGCCTGCACATTCCACACCGTTCACTGCTTGGAAGAACCTTGCTGCAGATGAATGACGTGAGCTTCAGTGCTGGAGAGGTGCCCAGCCCGCTGCCAGCATCTCCTAGCAGACCAAATGAAACACAGGCTCAATTTCCAAATAAAAAGTTGTAAGACAAACTTGTTTCAAACCCGTTTTATTTTTCTGAAGTGAACTGAGACAAAGGAACTATACAGTTTAATTACAGAATACTGTTAGGTGTTTACAAAAAAAAAAAAAATGTACTGACAAAGAGCAAACCTTGGAAGTTTTTCTGCCACTCCCAGAATTGAGCAAGTCCCACCTGTAGTTTCAGAGAGACCTATTTAAGTACTGCTGGCCTAGTACTCTTTGTGGAGAGGGGAAAAAAAAAAATACAAAAAACCCAACAAAACCAACACACATTTCCCCTAACAATATTTAAAAGAAATGCACAGATACTTCATAAGCATCTAGTCACACCAATTTACAAATTCCAAAGAAAAACAGCTCCAACAGGTATCGGTACGTACGCACAGGCAGATGTCACGTCCCTTGCAACCTGGCGTCATCACTATTAAACCATTTGCAGCCCGATGCCCAGACTGGTTTTGGACTGGAGTCTGGTTGGGACAGTGACCGTTACCTCTTCTGTTCTTCCCTATCTCATGTTGCTCATCAGTGTTCACCGATACTCAGAGCCACAACCCTGAGAACAAAACCTTCCCTATGCTTGAATAAGGTGTTCCCCACCCTGTCTGAAGCATTTGAATGGCAAAACATGCAGTATTTTTTATGTATTTAAATACATCAATGTGTATAAATTCAGAATTTCAAAGGCAAAGGATTTTCAACAGTCCTGTGCTTACAAGTCAAATATAGCGATATGCCAAAAAAACCCCGTTCCAAGACTCAGGCACGGCCTGCATTAATTTTGTCACGTGGTGGAATACTACTATCACTTGGAGGAGCTTTACTTCTAGTGAATACCAGCCAAAGCAAGTATACTGGAAATAAACTGGGTTTGCCTTTGTATCTTATTTTGCTTGGGAGGGAATGCTATACATCTTTCAAACGAATTTAACTGCTTTTGTCCCCCCTTTATATACACTTGTCTATACACACACCACATTAGTGTTACACAGCCTTATCTACACGGGCTTGATACAGTAGTGCTGACAAACAGCGGTGGCGTGCAACCTTCAGCATTTTTTTTCTCGGTTAGCCTAAAATAACTCTGACTTGGCAGAAAAGTCCTTTTTATCCGTACACCTCTTTGCTGTTCTTGCCAGCATAGTGGTTCATTAGGGTGTGATCTTTTTCACTCTCCTATGAAAGACTGTTGTATAGCTATGCCAAGAGACTTATCTGTATATAAACCAAGCCCACATGGGTTGGTCAGAAGGTTTTTTTAATTTTTCCAAGCAAACCCTTTCTAATCTCAATGAACAAGCATCTTATAAGCTCCCCTGTTTACATATCTGGATTGGATGAGAGTTTTACGTACCTGCAACAGGTAACAAAAGAACCAATACAATTTAAGACATCGATCTGATAACAATGCAAGAAAAACAGAACTCACTGTTTTAAAAATCAAAAATAGCTCTTGAAAAAAATGGATCTCAAAAATAGACCACGAGAAGAACAGTCAGGCACAGAAGGAATTTCCTTCGAAAGACAGACCATCATTATTTCCATTCAACAATGGGTTTACCTGTCACTGTAAAGAAAGGAGCTTTTGTTTGACACTTCTGCATGGGGAACAGCCCCTTTTTTCATCTGGATGTCTTCAAATACCCAGTCTAAGCTCATCAAGTCACCTCTATCGGAAATCAGATTCATACGGCCAGCCTGACGTCGGTTTAAGGTTCTTCCACAGATTTACTACTTGATTTTGATTTTCAAGCTTTTCTTGACAACGCACATCCTGATTGTAGAGGGATGTAATTTGAGACACCGCTTTAATTGTGGGAAAGCAATCCCTGTCATCTCTGTAGTCTCCATCCTTCTGTGGATCGTTTCTCTCTTTTGATTCCATGGCTGGTCTGATCAAAAGACCATCCTCATTCAGTCTGTAGTCTTTTATTGCTTTCTCCCTTCGTAGCTTCTGGATCCGTGCCAGCTGACGCAGCTCCTCTGGCAGCTCCATGCAGGTGGGCTGATAAGGAAAAAAGAAAAGAAACGGAAAAGAAATCAAATCAATACATATGCATACACATGCTCTACTTCTGTTAGTACCAGATAAGAGCTCCCTCCATAATTAGCCAATGGAACAGAACAATCAGATCTGTGGAACGGATCAACTACCAGCTTACACAAACAATACCTCAGGGGGAAAAAAGCCCCCCCCCCCCCTTCTTTTAAAGGCAACCCAAAGGGAAAAATATTAGACTTGCATTTATTGTTTATTCCTTTATTATGAAGATCTTAAATCTTTAAGTGATACTTCACATATGGGATTTAGATGTGTCCTGGAAAACCGTTTGCACTATGAAGTTGTTGTAAACCCCCAAAAGAGGCATAACCAGTTCACGTTTGCTTGTAGGAGCCACTGCAAAGGCAGCTTTCCCAGGCTTTTCATTTAAAACCATGGTATTCTATCCTATGGGTAAAAAAACCCAACCAACCAAAAAAACCCAAAAAACACTTACGTGGAAAAAGCCAACACAGTTAACAAATCAATGAAACGGCTGTCTAGGAAGTACATGAAAGGAGATACACTCCTCGATTTGGTCCCGAGCAGTGCATGGGACACTGTTCAAAATACTACATTCAAGGATCTGCTCCTTAACAAGGACTGCAATGCTCACCATCTTTGTAGGAACAACAACAACAACAAAACCCTCACAGTTGCGTTCAGCTGTAGAAAGGGGAATTACACAAATAAGGAAGCTTGATTAAAAAGTAGTAAGAGGCAGCCAAGCACATTCAATCCTAGCAGGTAGTACGGAGACAACTTCAAGACAATGTACAAGCAGCACAGAGTAAACATTACCTAACAGCAAAAGACCACAGAAAGAGTGAAAGGAAACTGGCAGGACTGCAGGTCAGGGGAACGGAGACTATGAAGTAAGCATCCTTCAGGAAAGCAAAGCCACATCCACGTGAAGAAAATGGTAAGGATGAAGTTACAGAAAAAAAACAAAGGGCAGGCCAGAATAATTTTATTAATATTTAACAAAAATATAACAGAACTAATAAAACAATTTCTTTAAACATGAGGAGCACAAAATGTCAACCATGCTGCAGGGCCAAGTGATGATCAGAATACAAAAGCAGCACAGTAAAAAACCAACATTTTTTCTCTTCTACATTCAGCATAAAAAAAAAAAGTGGAGATTCCCATACCAAAACCATTCATTATGTACCCAGAATCTGTTTCAGATTGTCCCATAAATACTTAATACTGATACCTGAAATACAAACAGCAAGGTGGATTTCACCCAAAATTCCTGAACAGTGGAAGATGAAAAAACTGAACTAGTAACTATAGTATCTTGCTTAAAACCTGCCTTGATAGCCAAGGATTGGAAGATGGTAAATGTTTAAAGAAGGTCCTGGGAAAGATACAGGAGGCAACATGCTGGTAAGTCAGATGTCTGTATGAGCATACTGGTAGAAACACTAAGAACAGAATGAGTGGATATACAGATGTGATGCAGTGGAGAAGTTACCATGGCTTTTGTAAAAGGAAACCATGCCTCACAAAACCTACATCTAGAAGTCTGCACAGATCCAGAGAAAGGCTAAATAATTCAGCTGGGATTACAGAAAAAAGCAGAGCAAGCACTTACTTGAAAACACCCCACTTTCCATTCTGTTTAACCAGAAGAATTTACATCCAGCTTCCTAACTCCTACAGTATCCTACAGTGAGAGGTAATCCACGCCCTAAACCACTTAAAACCAAGTTGCATGAAAATTCAGGCTGTATGTTCATAACAATTAATATGCATTGTGTGCAGCCCCTACTCATCTGCCAATTAGGAAAACTTCTGGCTCAGGCATGCAATTATATTTAAACAGAGTTTATGCCATCATGTGTCATGAATGTGTTATCTGGTATTATACACTGCGCTGCACCTTATCTACTGCAGCTTTACCTTAAGCGCATTGGGAAATCCACTCTGCTGCACAGGCGTGTGCCACTCCCCTATGGTACCAGGGCTCTGCTTGTGAACGATCACCACTGAAACAAGAAAGCACTGCACTTCTAGGAGAACATTTGCTTCTTTACACTGACGGGTTCCCAGGCTGTGTTCGCTTCTTTGAATCTAAGTCCTAAACATCAGAATGCAGGTACATTTCCAAGTACTTAACAACACACATGTAGCTCCTTTGCTAGCTCTTTTCTAGTGACAGAGCTGCAGGGGCACAGAAAGCCATTTTACTTGATGTCTGCATCCACAAGAAGAACAATTACTCCTGGCAGACAGTTATGCTGAAAATGCAGGAAACCGCAGAGACCTTCAGGGTGGGAAGTTTGTGTTGAGTTCTCCCCTCAGCAGTAAGGAAGATTATCAGATTGAGAAAAATGCTGAAGAGGGAAGCTGAGGGCTTTGATAATGAAGCGTTGGGGATCAGAGGTTACTGTTTTGCATCTGGTTTGTGGCTAAAAAGTCAGTTGCTTAGGAAGGAGTGTCCACTATTCAGAAGACTCAACTACTACTCGCAGGCGACGACACAAGAAACCACAGAAAGTGTCAACATACATTTTCAAAACTGTCAGGATCAATGAGATGCCTTTCTTTTTATTTCTTTTTTTTTTTTTTTCTTTTTTCTCCGTTTTCCTCTTCATTCTCTTCTCCCAGTACTACATCGACAAGGGTGCTGCATTACCATTTTTGGCTGCTGTGGACCACTGGCAATACTTTACTGTTGCTAACAACTGCTAGGATGCATGACGCCCATCTTTTCCGCAACCCTTTCCTGAAGGAAGCTCTAATCCATGGAGTTGCATCCTGCCACCCTGACAGCATGTCTCCCATCTGGCGTACCAGCTCATGGGCCAGCTCCTCAGTACATCTTCTGTTACTGCTGAAACAACTACCAAATGACAAAAGAATGTGTTTGGCTGTCCAGAAGCAAGGTGGAAGTCTTGCTGGAAGGGCTGCCCACTGGCTGACCGTAAGGACTTTGTTTCTTTGCCATTTCCAGCAAAACATCTGAAAGACCAAGGGGAAGAAAAGATGGCTGAAACCTCAGGTGAAACCAGGATTACCACCAGTGACTGCTGCAATTGCTCATGAGAATTATGATATCCAAGTCAAAGAGACTCAAACATACTATTTACACAAAATACGTAACTGTTGCTTGCTCTGCTCTTACCAGTTTATTGCTATGAAAGCAATAAACTGTCATTAATCTCCATTTCTACCAGATTATCTATGGCCTCTGACAACCTAGGACTTTGTTCCCATCAAATTATTTGTGAAAACTTAAGTAAAGGGAAAATACAAGCTTCTGTTGAAATAAGCAGGAATAACCCCCCCCCCCCCCCCCAAGCCATGCATGTTCAAGAAACAAGGCAAAATTAGACACAGTACATACAATTATGCATGTCTGAAATCAAGCACTCCTGAATATGTTGAAGGCCACAAGGATGATCTAACCCTTGTATGAGCTGTGCATTTAGCCAGAAAGTGATTCTTGTATTCTGCCACTAAGGGGGGCCTGTTAGAGCACACAGAAACTTCTCACTGAGGAACAAGAGATGCATGTGAAAAACTGACTGCAGAGATTGGGCATACAGAGCCCAAGGAAGCGTGGTGACAATTACATTCATCAGCCTTATTCACACTTGTCCTTCCTCAACGCTCAGTGGATGCAGTGATCCATAAGGGCAAGTGAACAGGCTTGGCTTTTACTTCATGATTATGCATATTCACTTTTCCTTGCTGCTGTTTCCAAGAGGAGAAAACACAGAGTCTGGTCCAGATCTGCTCCCAGAGGCTGAACCCTCTGATTTGGCAAGAGAAGGATAGAGTAGGTAACTGCCCCGATAGTCATTATTCAACATTTATTGGTCATTTTTTCAGCATTATTCAATTCACAGGCAACCTCAGACTGGGAAACCAAAGCATCTTTTTCACCAAGTATATCCTGATACTGTTATTACACACAAAAGCCATTGGCATTATGAACTTCCAGATGTGGCGGTGACCCAGGAAAGATTAGGAGGATGCTACCATGCTAGTCCAAGCTGAAGTTCAATGTTGTAAACCCTGATCCAGGAGCCGAGATTCAACATGTGACAGCCAGAGGTGGGAAGGAATGTGGCTATGGATTCCATCCAGCTTCAGTACTTCATTTTTAATGAAGTCTCATGATTGAAACTGTGTCTGTAGGTGCGTACTTGTTTTGCAAGTATAGCTTCCATGGGAGTGTCATAAGTTTGGGGGAATGGGAGAAGGAAAAAAAGCATTCTTGCGTGTGACACGACAGCACTCAATAAGATCAGAGGAAACAAGAGCAGGCCAGGGAAGCACGGCTCTGTTCATTGCTCTAGTCAGGTATGACGTACTCAAACACCTCTGTAGCCCAGGGGCACAACAGAAGGCATGTCTACATAACTAACTTTCCCTTTGTCAAAAGGCTGAAGACCTGGTGGTTGTGTTCAGAGGGCACAATCCAAGAACTGAAACAGAACAATAAGGGTCCAGAAGAGGATTCCTTATTTGGATGACGGAAATCAGCCAGTTTCCAGATCTGGTCATCTTCTCCAAGTGCTTGTAAATCAAAGAGGCCATGGTAACTTGGAGACTCTCTTGCCTAGTGCCTTTCACTCCCACAACTTTCAAGTAAAGGCGTGATATACCACAGGTGGTTCCTGTTCACTCAGGAATTACGTCCACCTTCCAATTTGGAAGCTGAAGTAGCGCAAGATATCTTTATGGCCCTGCAGTATTTATTGTCTTTGGCTTTGCTGCAGTCCTGCTTCAGCAACAGAGGAGGCCTCTCTTCCAGTTCTCCAGCATGGAGAGAGCATAGTAGATAACATATTTCAGGTTTCCAAACTGTTTCCCTGGCATGGGTATTTACTTCAGAATCCAAGGAGATCCATTACTTCTGCCGAAGTAGTGTTGGAACTGCACCAGATCGTGTCTGGGGAACAGAGTCATCACACACAGGGACTCCAGTGTTGCTGTTGTTGGAGACTGGCTGCTAAATGAAGTCAAGCTCATTGTACCAGACTGCTGTTCACCAAGGGTCCAAGGTGGAGCACAAGTGTAAATTGTAACTGGTCAGTATAAAAAGTAAAATAGTCCAGCAAAACCATTTTCCAGGTATCTTTCAACTGTAGCTCCACAAAGTGCACAGAAGGCATAACACAGACCATAGTGATGGATAACCTTTACTTCTAAACATCCATGAAAAAGCACTAGAATAAATATGGGGGAGGGGTAAATATCTTGACTATTACTTCATTCTGAGAATCAGATCTGAAGAAAGGCTTTTTGATTCAGGGAATTAATACAGACTTAGCCAGAAAACCTAGAAGTTGCACAAAGGGTTGTGGGTTTTTTTCCTCTCTCCGCCCCCCGCCCCCTCCCCCTTAAAACAGATTTAGCTGAACTCATCAACTTGCAAAGAATTCCCTTAAAGTTAACTTTGTTTACTTAGTGAAGAAACTGAAGCAACAAACCACATTTAACTAAACCAAATTCCATATTTGGAGTTTAAATATGTATTGCAAGCAGATTTTAAATAAAATAGAAGAAACTTTCATTTGTGTGATCTTCTCACAAGACGTAGAAACAACAGAAAATGATTAACAGTGAAATGATGGTGAAAAAGGCTACTTTTACTATCCATACTACAAGATTTCTAAAGCAACTGCAAGAAGTATGATTATCAGATGTGATATTAAATAGATCTTCAAAATGCCAGTTGAAATGCTCAGGATCAGATTCATTCCTTGGCTAATCTTATAGAATTAAATGGATTTACAAAAGGATTGCCTTCAGCAACCTGAGTACCATTTTAAAAAAATTCTACAAACAAATAGCCCAATGCAAAACAGAATTTGTATTCTTTTCACTTTAACAAACTGTTCTTTTCCCATGTGTCATGCCTACTTTTGCATGCATTTCACATTGGAAATTCAGATGTCAAGCTCATTTTTTTCCATGAACTATGAACAACTTTCTTTTTTTGGCAGCTCTCCTCTAAAAAGAAAGGTTTTCAGATATGACCTCTTCTCTTCCCTCTGTGAAGCAACTATGACCTCTTGTGGTTATCTAAACTAACCTCCTCCTAAATCCTCAATAATGGGATTTACTGCTCTGAGCCCTTAAGTAATTCCCAAAGGATTCAAGTCCATGCTTGAGTGCTTTGTTAAATCAGGGCAAAGAAAAAGACAATTTCCTCCATTAAGATGGACCTGCATTCTCTTTTCCTAATAAATATTTCAAGACATTTACATCTGCAAAAATGAGGTGGTAACAGGATTTAATGATGTTAGTTCAGTCTCTTTGTGATGAATGAGGATGTTTGACCATTCACTTTTCACCCGAATTTAACACCAGCAATATCTTACATAGTTATTGCAAGCTCTCCTAAGATTACTCAGTTGAGAAGACAGAAAAAGACCACACCAATACCGCTGCTTGTTTGGTTTGCATGGACCTGTTCTTTCCATTAGTGCAGGAAGTCAAACTCCTTAACCAAAATTGTTTCACCCCTGCTTTAAAAATTAACAAGCAATTACAGAAGTGTCCACCATACAAGGTATCTGGGCATGCAATACTACTGGTTCTATGTAACCAAAGATGCAAAGTGTTACTTGACTTGACTTTTTTTTTTTTTTTTTTTTTTAAGATAACACAAGTAAGAATAAATTAGGAAGACAAGATAACTGAGAGATGCTTTTACAGAAATAAAAATCTTTGGCCAACAAGAGACAACACTTCTCAGAAACAGCCAGAATATGAAAAGCAGCTCAGCACTACAGATGACAGAACAGGAGAAAAATAGAACAAGATTTGGAGACGAAATCCAAATTTGCTCTTACCAAAACAAAGCAACTCTGGCAGCTCCAGGTACCAACACTTCACAACTGCCTGTCCCTCTTCATGCCCTCGCACATACACAGCCCCTACTGAGCCCAGAGTTCTCAGTCTCAGATCAGAGTGAACAGAAGGCACATGTGCCTGTGCCCATGCCTCAGCAGCTGCAGCTCACCATGTACAATACTAACTTGAGGTGGATTTGTGCTAATGGACTAACGTGAAATGCAGCTAGGTAGATACAGACACCATCACTTCTGCTGCTGCAGACAGGAAACAAGGTATGTGGCATAAAGTAGGGCGTACAGTTGCAGAAAAGGAAGCTGCTGTAGCTAGGTCCTGCAGAGTTTATCCATCAGAGCCTCAGATCACATCACTAACCAGAGACACAAGCAAAGACATACCTACCTTCGTGCTCCCAAGGTGATCTCCAGACTCAGTCCGATATGCATTTAAATAATCATGTACTACAGCTGTTAGGTCAGACATCAAATTATCCATTAGAGATGAGTGAAGCAGCAGAAGGTACATAGCCTTCAGAGCAAGTGCTTTAAGCAGAGAAGCTGGAAAGGGTCTCAAGAACCACGTGTCGGGATTCTCCTGTGTATCCCAATGCAAATGAAAACGGTTATTTAAGTAGCAAAAATTATAACAAAGCTTTTCATCACATTCTTCTGCAGTTTACAACATATCTCCTGATGCTGATCTCTATTTTCAGTGCTACTGAATGCTTGCAGCTTCTAAGGTCATCTGTGCACAAGCCTGTGGATGTTAGAGAAAAGGGAGTTTGGGAGGAGGGATTGCTTCTCAAAAAAACCCCCAAAAAACCCACAACAAACCAAAACCAATCCAAAACCAAACACTGACCTATTCCAGCATTTAATACTAGGTTCTCTCTCACCGGTTTCTGAAATTAGTTTGTATTCCTAAGAGCTGAGCTTAAAGATATAAAGGGAAAAAAAACCCTCCCATCAAGGGAGCCGGGGAAGCAGCTGGGGATAGTAACATATTCAGCCATCACAACTGGAACCAGAAGAACATGAAAATAAGCCCCAGCTAAGCAGCGTGACCATGATACCCTGAGCAAAACTGTTACTACAGAGTGGCTTACACTGGTATACTTACTACATACATATTACACAGTCATTTTCCACTTTTAGTCATCAGACCAATAGGAGGATTTGGTTTGCTAAACAAAGGAAAGCATGTTGTCATTTTTTGTGATTTGCGATACAAAATTCTCTAAATTGAAATTTTGAGAGACACTATTACAATTCCAAAACTTACATAAAAATAAAGCTGTGTTCAAATTAGAGGTTTCACTGAGTAGCTATTATAGCAATATCAAATAACATTTAATCCAGGCTTCCGAGAAAGGTTTTAAGACTATGAACAGGCAGTGCAAAACCCCTCAGATTTACTCAGCAAGTTACAAGACCAGTACGAAGGGAGAAAAAATGCTCTGGTAGGAAAGAGATTGCTCCTATTCAGTAAAGAAATCCTGCCTATATAGTGAGGTCTCATTAAGTACCTAGTTCCCATATTTAATAGCTTCTTCTGTCATCTTTTAATAGCTTCTTCTGTCATCCCTGTCCCCCCGTCCCGGCCCCCCCCCGCCCGC